CATTCTTAGTTAACTAACAGCTCACATCTCTATTCTGCTTAAAGGCTCACAAATCACTTTTCTCACAACGATCCTGTGAGATAAATCCTCTCATTTTACAAACGAGGAAACTGAGGTTCAGAGAGGCCAAGCAACTTGTCCAGGGTCACACGAGCCCAGTTCTTTCACTTCCGATGTAGACTCTTTGAACGACACCGGGAGGCCTCTTTAATTGAGCTTGTCCACGGGGGTTTCTTCTCCCTTCCCCGCACCCCCACCTCCCCATCTTAAGACCCTAAGGGAGGGAGAAGAGAAAACCAAAACGGATTCAGAAAGTCCCGGGACAATCCTTGGAAACAGATCAGGGGACAGCAGCCCGGCAGAGAGAGGGTTAGTACTTCCAGAAGCAGGATAAAATGGCCGTCCCGCAGAGTCTCAGCAGATCCCGATCCGGTGACCGGCAGGAGTAACTCCGGGACTGCCTTGCCCCCTTTCCGGGGCCAGAATCACCAAGAGCCTTTGGGTAGAGCAAGTGGGGGTGAGGGAGGGGGAGATGGGGGCAATGAACGCCGGCCTTTATCCCCATACAAAGAACCTCGCGGGACCTTCGGTCCGGCTCACAGACCCAAGTCCGGCGTTCAGCGTTCCAGAACCCCCTTCTCTCCCTCCGCGTCGCGCCGCTCTAATCTCTGCGCCGCCCCAAGTTGGGGAACTATCCTTGCTGATCCGACGGTAGGTAGCCCGACAGCAGTTTATTCCTATCAAGATTCATTCCGCCCTTCCCAAGTGCTCTTCTTTCCCAAGCTTGTGGCCCTAGGTCTAATTATCTGACCCCCTCACCCAAAGTAGTGTGAGTGGCTCAGAAACTTCTGTCCTCCAATTGCCCTTTTAGGGGCTGAGTGCTAAGGATAGTTCTGGGTGCGTCTTCCAAGATTTTCCAATCCACGTCTCGGAGTTGAGCGGCGGGACTTAACTCCCCGTCCCGTCCTCCCATTCCCAACCCCCACCTGCATTTCCTGCCCTAAGATCCGGACCCTAAGTGACCAGCTGTTTGACTCGCTGGGATAATGACTTCCTTGGGCTCCGAGCTAGAAGTCACCTGGTCCTGCCCGTCCCCCATTCCACCCCTCCAGCTCCAGCCTCGGTGATTACCAATGTAAATCAGCATTTCACAAACTCATTAAGGGAAGCTATAAAGCCCAGCCATGAATACATAAAGTAAGATGGGGGAGTGAGGGAGGAAGCGAAAAGAAGAGAAGGGGACGGGGACCCTAGCTACTGGAGAATGACCGAAAAACTCCTGCTGTCGGGATTTTAGAGTCCGGGTCAATGTCAACTTGAGTAGAATTTGTGACTCCCTACAAATACACAGAGGCTCCAAGGTGAATCGGAGCCCCTGACTTCAGCAGCATGTGAATTTTTTTTTTTAAATCTCAGCGTTGAAAGGAACCTCTGGAATCCCCTTTGCAACATAGCATTTATGCAAATATCTAACTTGCAAATGTCTCAGACAGGGAACTCTCTACCTCTCTAGGCAACCCAGTACACTTTAGGTTGGTTCTAATTATTAGGAAGGTTTTTTCCCCCTCATATACAGCTGAAGCTACCTTTCAGCAGCTCCCACCCTATTACTCCTAGTTGAATCCTCTAGGGCTAACCAGAATGAGTCTTACTACTCTTACACATGACTACCCTTTAAATATTTGAAGGTAACTATCATATTTTCACTTCTAAATACCTCCCCACAGGTTTTTAAAAAAATTAAATGAATTCTCTTACGGCATGGTTTTGAGTTCCATCACCTTCCTGGTCACCCTTATTAGGCTATCGAATGGGTAACTAAGGTTGCTTTTGTCTCATACCCAACAAAATAGAATACATCCTGAAGCAGGACAGGGAGGAATAAGAAGAGAACTAGCACTGGGAAGAAGGGTCTGGGTAGAGCAAAGATCAGTGTTGGGATAAAATAACTTGATTTCACACTGTTGGGCCACCTGTCTAGCTGTAAAGAAAGTGGGTATTTGGAATACTGATATTGCATCTAAGTCTATAATAGAACCTAAGAGCCAGGACTAAATGAGGAAGATTACCAGGTGTCTACTGCCCAGATAGGAGTGGAAATTCCCCTTGGAATGGCTGGTGAAACGCTTCCTATGCTCCCATTATTGCAAGTACATTTTTGATGATTGGACAAATCCTTCAGCCCAGCTCCCTTCCCTGAAGGCATTTCCTGTAGATCATTCAGAGGTGGTCAAATAGTTGCTAAGAACAGCTTCTTTAGTCTCCAGTGCCCAGTTGGTCAGAAATTCTGCACATGTAGCAATTTTGGTGCCTCTGAAACCCTGGTCCCTGACACCCTGAGCAGGTTCATCAGGAGAGCAGGTTCCCTTGCCCCCAAGTCATGGGAGATCTCACATAACACCAGCTACAGAGTCCCCCCCAGATGTAACACCTAACTCAAAAAAAAGACCCAGAAGGCCTTAGGAGGAAACAACAGTGATGTTGGGATTGTAAAAAGGTCTTCTGCTTCAAAACAGGAGCTCTCTTGAATCTGACCACAACAGGACAAATAAGAAGCACTTAAGGTTTCTAGCCTGGAGACACCTCTTTGCGAGTCTGCTCAAACTTTGTGTGGTTCCCACTGGTGATGCTGTGGAAACTGCCATTAGCAGGGCTCTAAACAGGTCCAGAACTGAATGTTCTTCTCTCCTTGGAATGCAGGATAGCCCCAAGGAAGGCTATGCAAGTCACAAAAGAAATAGGGGCCCTAGCAGTCAGATGAGAACTGAAGTGACCACACACAAAAAAAATCATAGGACTCAGAACTAACTCTAAGGGATCTGAAACAAGAATGGTTCAGCTAGATGGCACACTGAGTAGAGCATTGGGCTTGGAGTCAGAAAGACCTGAGTTCAAATTTGGCCTCAGACATTTACTAGCTGTGTGACCCTGAGCAAGTCACTTAACTTTTCTTTAGTTTCCTCATCAGTAAAATGGGGATAATAGTAGCACCCACCTCCCAGGGCTGTTGTGAGGATCAAACGAGATAATAATTGTGAAGCACTTAGCACAGTACCTGACACATAGTAGGCACTAGCCTAATGCAAAGCCTTACCTCTTTCTACTCTTTTATCAACTACATGTAGACTATTCCTCCCTCTCTTTCTTGTCCTGCACTGTCCCATTTACTTGTCTTTATTCATGCTCTCAGCTGTGCTAGAAATAGAAACCCACATCTCTATATGAAATGCCTCTCTTCAAGATCCAGCTCAGGAGCCACCTCTTCCATGAAGCCTTCCTAGATATCTAGTCAGCCAGGCCAGAGATAAAATTGATCTTTCCCTTTTCACATTTCTCATAGACCTCTCCATTGTGTTTATCACACTCCACTTTATATAGAACTTATTCATATATATATATATATATATATGCCATATTACTCCAGTAGACTGTAAGCTCCTTGAGGTCAGTAACTATATCATTTTTCATGTGTGTATTCCCAGCATTGAGCACAGGGCCTTACACTTAATAAATGTTTGTTGAATTGTTGTTGTTGAAAGAAATATCTATTTGATGCCATCTTCTCTTTCTTTCCAAACAAAGTATTCTTATCACAATCCCTGCTGCCCAGGGAACAATAAACGCAACATAACTGGACAAAGGAGACTTCATCCTGCCTGCCTTCCTTTCCATAACAGTGGAATAGACAAATCGTCTGAAGCTGAGATCCCTGTATTCCTGCTCTTTTGTTTGCCATTAATTAAAGTGGCCATATGGAAGAAGCTGATAATGGCAGCTGAGGAGCCAATGAGGGAGGGAATGGGGACTATGAGGAGCCCGTGGCTGAAGTGGCTTCTGCCGACAGCTCGGAGTAAAGGGGATCCTGGCAGAGTTCAGCCAACAATAGATGAGAGAGTGAGCATAGCCCCAGCTTGTGTGTTTGTGTCCTCTGGCACTGTGGGCTGCCACAAGTTCTGTCTGAGCACCTCAGAAATGGCTGGCTGTCCTACACAAGACAGAGGCAAGAAGAAAGTAAGAGGCAGCCAGAATACTTCTGCCCACAGACCCCAAATAAGGTTGTAGTCTCAACAAAAAAGGATTTGCCTCATTCTACAAAAAGGAAAAGTCAAAAGGGCACTTCCTAGTGACTCTCCTGGCTGGGTGCTTTACTCAGCTTGGCTAAGCACAGACAGCCCAAGCATTTCCCAAGGTTTGTTTTCAGTACATTGCGATTGGCTCCTTTGTTTACTCAGACCACTCACAATGACAGAGAGTAACTGAGGTTTCTCTCTCTGTCTCTTTTACCCACCCACCCCCCCATCAGGGAAAAATTATTCATATCTTTCTTCCAAAAGGAAAATCATGATGATGATGAAGGTGGTAATGATGATACAAATGGTAATTATAATACTGTGGTCAAGCAGACCACCCTGGAACTTGAACCCACATTCAGCTAACATTTCAACTTAACTCACTAGGCATTTTTTTTTTTGTCTCCAGAGACTGAATTCCCAACTTTACTTTTCTTGGTCAAGCCCAGGTAATTAGTAGTAGTGCTATGCAGAGCGAAATCCTAAATGTGATAAAGAAAAAGCTAGAATATCCTTCCTGCCATCAACACGGGCAGGTTTGCAATGACAAACAGCTCCTACTCAGGGGGGGAAAGATGCACTTTCTTGTCTTTTTCCTTGTCCGTAAAAAGGAAAGCAAATTTAACCCAAGAAGGCAGCACCTCTAAGTCTCTCATCCTAGAGAACAGCAAACAGGGGAAGTCATGTAGCTCAAAACTCAACTTTGAGAAAAACCTAGTTTTTAGTTTTTAAAAGAGAAAAACTACTTGTCTTTCCACATCTGTTTACAACAATCCCTATAAAGAACTGCATTTATGATAGATTGGCTGGAAGGAAAATCTAAGCAGTGTTCCATTAGGTGTTCTGTGCACCCCAGCACCCCCACCATAGATTTCTTAAAGTCCTCTGTTAGGATTTTAGAAATAGGCAACCAAGAGATCAAAAGCTTACTTCGATCACCACTGTTCAATACCTTGGACTGGAAGTTACCATATGAGATATTCCAGGGAGACAAACTGTGAATCTTGTTTTTTCCTTGCTTCAGAGAGATCTTCTGTTCAAAGGAGTAGGGTTTCCTCCAGACAGAGAGCCACCAAATCCTGTGGCCACAGACATAATATCTGCTGTTCTTCCAGAAATATTCAGAAAGTTTCTTGGCTGGATACAAGGCTTTCCCCCCCCCCCCGTTAAATATATTTTCTGTCAGATGCATAACATATCCACTAGAATCTCAGAAGGGGGGGGCTAGGAAGGGAGAAAGAGGAGGAAAAAAAATCCACACAGACCCAGGAAGAAGGAGAAGCAAATCCCTCAGTTCTCCAATGCAATTAAAAGATTCAACCCCTAGACCTGCTCTTCCTGCAAAGAAAGCCTTCATCTGACAAATTAACTGTGTTCTCGGAAGCCCTTTTCCTGATCAGTCTAAGGTGAAAGCTCCAGCCTTAGATATCTGCCTTTGTCAGCGAAAGAACATAATATTGACTTACCTTTCCCCACAGCTATTGTCTTTCCCCTTTCAAAATGACATCACGGAAAGCAATCATGAAATTTACATGGGGGGCTGGGTGGATGGAGGTGGGGGGAGGAGTTGGAGGGCAGCCACTTCGCTTACACCAGTCACATGCGAGCAAGATTGTTTGTTGGTTTCAATTAAATATCTGCTCCCCCTCAGTGTGTGAACTCCTAAGCCTGCTAAAGGGGATGTCTCATTTACTTAATGACCGCTCTCATTAAAGGGAACGGCACAGGGCTGGCGGAGGCGGCCTTTGTAAATACACTACCCATGAACCCTTGGGGTTGCAATATATCTGTTTACTCTCCGAGGTGAAATAAATTTACAGTATAGCATCAAAAAGATGGATCTGCTGACTTTGGGAGCAAGGGGAGTATCGAGGCCTCATAAGAGCCTCAGCCCCTGTGTTCTGAGAACAAGTCAACAGAAGGCGACTGCATTTACCCATGCAGATTCATAATTAATATGCAGAATGATCAGAGGTTCTTTTATGCAAAATACACAAAAGGGCAGAGTGTGTTACAACTGCCATCCTCATCCCCCTCTGTCTTCTCTCCCAGTGGTACAGTCCAATAATTCCTAATAGCAGCAACCCGGGAATGACAGATGCCCTAGGTTAGCGTAGCTGCAGCGAAAGTACTTTACAATATTTATTGGTGGTTAGGAATATGACCTATCATCATAAAGAACAGACTGCGAAATTTATTGTCCAGTTGAAACTGGGAGCATTGCATATTAGCTCATCTACATAGTCAAGTGCCAGTGACTTAAAAGGTCTATGTTTTTTTAAAAGTGCAAAAAAGTACAAAAAAAAAAAAAGATCCTCAAAGTAAAAGGCTAGGGAAGAGACTGTTTCCTCTCATTACATTTTCACTTTGACAAATCTTTTCATTGTTAAAGTACCTATAAACTCCATCTAAGAGGCAAAGGTGCTTTCTCCTAGGAAGAAAATATTCTGTCCCTAAATAAACTGTTTCCAACCAGAGAGATACACCTCTCTAGTTGTTTTTTTTTAATTTGACTTTAATCCTGGTCTATTTTAATTCCCTTGAAATAGTCTATCCAAAAAAAAGCAAGGGGAAAAATTCATAAAATGTTCAATAAAAGTTCTCGCCCACTCTATAATAAAATCCTAACATTATGTTTCTTGCATGTAAGTTTGTGGTTTCATCACATTCATAGGATTTCCAGGTTAAAAGACCCTCAGGTGTTAGTGACTTGATAGAAGTCATGCAGGTGGTAAAGTGACTGATCCAGGACTCAAAAGCCAGGTACTTCTACTATAAATCCAGGGACTTTTTCCACTACACTAAGCTTATGTCTCTCCATTTGCCACTCACAGTTTCCTGAATAAGCTGTTGGTCAAATACTCTTTCCACTCCAAGTTGCCTAGTTGTTAACTTTAAGAGAGTTGGTAGTGAAAGTAACAATGATATTGATTATAATCCAAATTGTTCCATCAAAAGGTAGGACTCTTTGTCCCTGGTGAAAGAGATAAAGCTTCTCTGTTGTCATAATCAGGATTTTAGGAAATATGTCTGGAATGGCAAGGGACTAAATTTCAAATACCTCCAAAGATGTTACTAATTACAGAGCAATTTCATAGCTAAGAAAGACCCAAATGAAAAGTTCAGAGTTAGGGCTGAAACTCATGTTTAAATTATCTTTCTTGGTAAAAATTATGTGGAAATAAAATGCCCCTGACTCAATTGGCACTGAAGAACTCAAGACATCATAAACATGAAGACAGATTGCAGTATTGATGTTCTTCTTAGGTTATATTTTGAAATGCACACCTTTTATTCATTACACACACTGTATCCTACTGTATTATATATTACCAACCTGCTTCAACCCAAGCATTAGTGAAAGAATCAATTTTGCTTCCAATTTCTAAGCCCACATTTTCACATCAATCCAAATACTTACAAATGTGGCTTCTTTGCAAAATAATGCAAGAAATGTAGGCAAGATCTGATCTCAGACTGGGTAGGGAAGACATAAATGCAAAGCTGCAATAGCTGGGCTTACAATAAAATATTAATTAGCCACATAAGAATATTCTGAAACTCCTGCAATGTCTATTTTAATGACTGTCTACCATTTTTTGGCTCTTTCGTGAGCTCATATCCATTAGCATAAAAGGACATATTCAGCTGAGAGCACTCCTGAAAAGCCATTTTCTATCTCCTCTGGACATGCTGTGAGTGCAGGGATATTTTACATCCTAAACCTTTGGCATTCAGAAATTCTATTAAACTCTTATCGCCAGTCAGCAGGCCCAGCGCTACCCAGCATTTCCATTGTTCTGCATTGAAGATAGAATCAAAGGGAGGGTCCGTGCTGAATCAGCCTTATTCTCTTAACAATGCCCCATGTTACACGAATGCTATTTAATTCATACATGTAATAGTCAAACTTAAGAAACAACAACAAACCAGATGGAGTGGAAAACTGGGTGCATGTGTGTGTTGGGGCGGGGAGGAATCTATATATAACATAGCTTTTGGTAAAATTATTTTTCTTGGTGCCAGGAGTAATATTTATATAATTTTAAGTATTTCAAGAATATTTTCCTCCTATTCATGACAATTGGCACCTTAAGGTATATGTATCTGCCGGAGATGGAACTATGTTGTTTCACCTTCTCTACTTTACTTTAAAATGTTTTTAATAGGCAATTCAAAATTTATTCAAAATCTCCAAAGGAATTCAAACAAATACGGAATTTTCGGAAGGGATCTGGAGTTTTTGGTAGTATGTTGTAAATGTCGCTTAAACAATTGCCAATGCCTTTTAAAGTCTGAGCTCAACCTCTTTGGCTGATGCCATTTGCCAAGGGAAGAAATAAAGCAATACAAGTGAACTCCTAAAAAGGCAGCATGAAGATGAACTTGGCCAATGCATTTAGAAAGTTGGAAACCATTCCTACATGGACTGACCACCTAGGAGAAAAACCAACTGATGCAGCCTGAAAACCGAGCTGCAGTCTGGCTAGTCAGCACTGCGGACAGCTCCCTCCAGAGCTGGCTGTCTACGACCCTTTGTTCTGTCTACAGAAGTTTGGAAGTTTGGATAAACACTGTGAGACCAGAGCTGTTAACCAAAGTCTTTCAGCCATGAAATACGAGCTGCCTTTATAATGTGAGATGGGCCAATTAAGAGTCCAAGGCATTAAAAAAAAAAGCCCCTGAATGTAGCACTTCCAAATAACAGCAACACATCTTAATACAAAAATGACTAAAGGAATGTTACGTCTTGAAGAAAGGTACTGACATTCTTTAGCTTTTAAAATTGGAACCCATGTTTCATGTCACAAGGTAATTCCATGACACAAGTGTAAATTTGTCATTCATTTAAAGATTTAGTATAAAATAAGAGACTGGAGAAAGACTTGTCTGACTTTTTCATTTTATGATTTAAATAGATCTAGAAGCAGTCACTATAAAGTAGTGCTAGTGTGCTAACACTATAGTGAAAGAGGGAAGATCTGCGAAAACCCAAACTTGAGGCTATAATCGAGCTTTTTAAATAAGTGCTTTGTATGAGCTGGGGGTAGGGGCGGGGGTTGTCCCACCACACACTCCAGGATGCAAACTTGTCGAATGAAAACCTGCATAATGACCGCTGGGCTGGGAAGATCATTTTAAATAAAGTTTAATTACTTGTGCAAATCTACACACAGGGATTCCAAGTGTTACTTCATTTGCTTTATAAAAACTCTTTCAAGTAATTTCAGTCTAAACTTTATGCATCTGTAATTGGCACCAACTTCTCCGGTGACCAGCTGGGGGTGAAGATTTTTCTTGTTCCTTTTTGAAAGCTTCCCTGCAGATGGGCTGCCTGCCTTAAAGCTGCAGACTACAATTAGGGCCGTTGTGTGCCCAACAGAAATGGTCAGCATTAATATTGTATATGGAACAGCTGAGGGGCTGGGGAGGAGCTGCCTCAAGCAGGCCCCTGGCAGATGGAGCAAACAAAACAAAACAAAAA